GCAGATTGACCCAAGTACACTGCTGAGGGGAGCAGCAGGCTGAGTCAGGAGAGGTCTCCTGCACCATGCAGGTTGCTCCCTGGTGGCTGGCCGGGGATTGAACTCTTGCTGCAGAGGCTGCGGATTGCTTCATAGTGCAGCGCTTAACCCCTTGTGCCACCAGGGAGGCCCTGATTCCAGCCTTTTGAGTCTGCCCCCCACTCTCTGGCTTACACCCCAGTTCTTGTATGCATAAATAAATCAATCTTTCTTTAAAAAAAGAACGAGAGAGCAAAAAAGGAAGAGGGCAAAAACAGCTTAATAAAGTACAACTCTATTATACTGCTTTGCAGTGTTATCATAATGAATAAAGATAAGTATTCCTCTTGTGAGCAGCTACCCACCAGGGATATACCTCCAGTCACACACTGAAAGGATATTTTGGTAAATGACAAACCCTATATCTTTTGGGGGGGGCACACAGTTCCACCCATAATACCTTCTAGAGTAAAAATCCACCCACGTGCATAATTAAATTAAATCTATTTTACTATGGGTAATTATACTTGTATTATATTGCATTAGTTTTTATTTTATTATTTTTTTTGTGGGACCCTCACCGGTGGCCAGGGATCGAACTGGCACTGCAGAGGCTGCGGGCAGCCTTGCAACCCAGCGCTCAACCGCTACGCCACCAGGGGAGGCCCTGTATTCGTTTTTAAATTCCCACTTATCATGACACCCATCAGCTTTAACCAGTCATCAATGTTGACAGAATGACTTAGAAAATGTGATTAAGGGCCTCCTGTAGTGCAAGGGGTTAAGCCACAGCACTATGAAGCTGTCTGCAGCCACTGCAGCATGAATTCAATTCTCAGCTAGAGAACTAATCTACATAGCACAACAGACCTCTCCTGTCTTGCCCGCTGCTCCACTTAGCAGTGTATTTCAGTCAATCTGCCTGTTCTGTTCCCATTCTGTCTCTGGTGAATCCTCTCACCCCTTGCACTTCTGGCCTGTACCCCAGTTCTTGCATGCATGCATAAATAAATCTTTTAAAAAATAAAATGTGATTAAAAGCTGTACAGAGGGCCTCCCTGGTGGCCTAGGGGTTAAGTCTCGGTGCTGTTACCACTATGGCCTGAGTTCAATCCCGGGCCAGGGAACTGACCCACATATGGCACAGGAGACCTCTCCTGTCTCACCTGCTGCTCGCCTTAGTGGTGTATTTCAGTCAGTCTGCCTGTTCTGCTACCCACTTTGTCTCTGGTGAATCCTCTCATTCCCCTACACCTCTGGCTTATCCCCCAGTTCTTCTTTAAATAAATTAATAAATCTTTAAAGAAAAAAAAAAAAAAGGCTGTACAGAGTGACCAAAGTTACCCAGAGCACAATCCAGTGTCTTTGAGATTTAAAGGTGATGTGGGCCTAAAAGGAAGAGCAGGGAAATAATTAAAACTAGAATGAACCAACATACTGATCTTTGTTCTGTGTATCTCCACCTTAACCACCTTTTAGAATTATCTGGGGAGCATTTTGTAAAAACCCCAATGTCTCAGCTTTACCCCAGACCAATTAATTAGAGTCTCTGAAGGTGGGGCCTGGGCATTGTATTTGCTGCAAAGCTCCCCAGATAATCCTAATGGGCAGGTGGGGTTGAGAACCACTGCCTGGCAAACAGTCACCTGGGGGGAGGTAATTATGTAATCCTGAGAGCCTGAACCACTGAATGCCTGCTCTCCACCCCTTGGCAGTAACAAAGTCTCTGTTTGGGCAGCTGTTCTGGTTAGCTATTACCCAAAAGCAGACAGCCCCAGGGGTTTAAGCCAAGACAGTTAAGAAAGGGGTCTCTAGTATTTGTACACCCCTGATCATGTCAGCATTACTTACCACAGTCAAAAGATAGATTGAAGCAACCAAAAAATCTCTAATTGGATGAATGGATAAATGAGATGTGGCAGTACTTACAGCGGAATATATATTCATCCTTAAAAAGGAAGGAAATTCTGATATGTGGAATTTAGGGATGAATCTCATGGACATTATACTAAATGACTCACCCCCAACCCCACCCCATATCAGTTAAAAATGTCAAAGCAGGGTTTCCCTGGTGGTGAAAGGGGTTAAGATGCAACCTATGAAGCTATCCACAAGTTTTCGAGCCCCAGCCAGGGAGCTACCCACATGGCACAGCAGACCTCTCCTGCCTGGCCTGCTGCTCCCCTCAGCAGTGTATTTCAGTCAGTCTGCCTGTTCTGTTCCTCACTGTCTCTGGTGAATCCTCTCACCCCCCCACAACTCTGGTCTGTACCCCAGTTCTTATATGCATAAATAAATAAAAAATATTTAAAAAAAAAGTCAAAGGATTTTTGGACATGTTTTAAACTTCCTACAGTGTCTGGGGGTGACAGGATGAGGGGCTAGGCAGACAGTCTCAGGAAAAGTCAGAGAATAAACTTAAACTCTGGCTCTTGGCAGTTGCCATCCTCTCCTCCTGGGGTTCTCCTCTTACTTTGTTAGTTTTAACCTTTCTTTACTCTGCAAAGTTTAGCTGAAAGTTTACAATCTCAGAATGTCCTGTCCCAATCCCTACACTAAGTCAGATACCTATAGCTCCCTCCTCTCCCCCATAGTGTTATAGGACAGGGAGAGGGGCAGCCCAAACCCCGCAAACCTGCCTATTCTACATGGGTTCTGCCATCCGCCGCATCAACACAAAACATATGAGACTTTAATGAAAAGGAACTTTAATAAAACTAGGAAACAATACAGGAAAGGCAAAGAGTCTAGTTTCTAAATGAAGCACCCAAAGTTACCCGTCCCCTCGTGGGTAAAAGTCCATCCAAATGGGATTGGTCCAGAACAAGGCCCCAAAGCCTGCCACAAGTCTAAAGCATCTTCCAGTGGGGACCCACAGCAAAGGGTCACAAACAACCGGACAAGCCCGGAAGGAAAAGAGCAAAATCAACATCAAGATAAAAGCTGCCATTGTCACCTCCCCACGGGTCTCACCCACATCTGTGTCACCCAGTCCACGACCAAAAGACAAGCACAGTTTCTTCACGTGTCTCTAGGCTCCATCCTGCTTCCTTCCTTCCTCAGTCTCTTCCTGCAGCTTCTTCTCTTGCTGCTCAGCTCCACCCTCCCTTGGGTGGGGCAGGGAACCTCCCCCTTTCCTGGGGACCACCCTGTTGCAATAGCACTTCAACTTTCTATTTGTTCACATTTGTGCCATAATTTTCTCTCTCCCACTGGACTGGGACTGCCTCTATAGCAGGCGTGTGCCTGTTTTGATCATATCAAAAAAAAGATTGAGGGCCTCCCTGGTGGTGCAGCGGTCGAGCGCTGGGTTGCGAAGCTGCCCACAGCCTCTGCAGTGCCGGTTCTATCCCCGGCTGCTCCCCGGCCACCGGAGGAGGGTTCCACATGGCGCGCATACCTCTCCTGCCGCCCGCTGCTCCCCTCAGCAGTGTACTTCGGTCCTTCTGCCTGCTCTGCTCCCCGCTCTGGCTCTGGTGAATTCTCTCACCCTCCCGCACTTCTGACTGTACCCAGTGCTTGTATAAATAAATAAATAAATCTTTAAAAAAAATTTATGTATACGAGAACTGGGGTACAGGTGGGGGGGCGAGAAGATCCACCAGAGACAGAATGGGGAACAGAAGAGGAAGATTGACTGAAATACACTGCTGAGGGGAGCAGCAGGTGAGACAGGAGGTCAGCTCCCTGGGGGTCAGCTCCCTGGCCGGGGATTTTTTTTTTTTAAGATTTATTTATTTATTTATTTATACAAGCACTGGGTACAGTCAGAAGCGCGGGAGGGGTGAAAGAATTCACCAGAGCCAGAGCGGGGAACAGAACAGGCAGATGGACCTAATTGCACTGCTGAGGGGAGCAGCGGGCGTGGCAGGAGAGGTCTGCGCTCCATGTGGGACCCTCACCGGTGGCCGGGGTTCAAACCGGCGCTGCAGATCTGTGGGCAGCTTCGCAGCCCAGTGCTCAACTGCTGCGCCAACAGGGGAGGCACCCTGGCCGGGGATTGAACTCTTGCTGCAGGCAGCGGATTGCTTCATAGTGCTGTGACTTAAGCCCGTGTTTTATTATTGTAGCCCCAGAGACCTGGCACAAAATCAAACGATAGGAAGAATGTAATAAATATTTGTTAAACACATGAATTAGTGAACAATTTTTTGAGTGATAAAGTAATGCCTGCCTCCTCTACTACACTGTCCCCTCACACAGGGTTTTCTTTTTGTTCACCTTATTTTCACAGGGCCTAGTGCAGAGTATGATAACCAGACTCCAAGATGACTCCCAAATGATCCTGGCCCCCTTGTGGGGTACAGGCCAGTGGTGCGTGTGTGTGAGAGGATTTATCAGAGACAGAGGGGTGAACGGAACAGGTGGATTGATTGAGACATACTGCAGAGGGGACAAGCAGGCCAGTCAGGAGAAGTCTGCTGCACCATGTGGGTAGAGCCCTGGCCTGCGGGGATCGAACTCATGCTGCAGAGGCTGCAGATAGCTCTATAGCACTGAGACTTTAACCCTTGAGCCAGCAGGGAGGCCCCGACTTTTAGGCTTTAGATAAACCAAGAAGTTTAAAGTTTACAACAGGGGCCTCCCTGGGAACTAATCCACATGGTGCAGCAGACCTCTGCTGACTCCCCTGCTGTTCTCCTCAGCAGTGTATTTCAATAGATCTGCCTGTTCTGCTCCCCACTCGCTCTCTGGTGAGTCCTCTCACCATCACCCCCACCTCTGGCCTACACCCAGTCCTTCTATGCGTAAATTAAAAAAAAATAGCCGCCCACAGGACCACTTGGGCATCACCTACGGGCCACATGCCGGGCAATTCCGGGCCAGGACTGGCTGGCGCCTGTCACGTGACCGTCAGTAGTCAGCCCGCCTTTGAGGCGCCGGAGGTCCACGTGGTCCCAAGCAGCTCAGTCTGGCCGGGTCGCAGGGAATGGACTGCGCAGGCGCGGATCCTGGCGCAGGCGCAGGCGCAGACGCGGCCACGGGCGCGGGGCCGGCGGCGGTTGGCGGCGCGCAGCGCGGCAGTTCGGTTGGCTGAGCGGGATCAGAGCGGGGATTGCGAGAGCCGGCGCCATGGTAGAGAAGGAGGAGGCCGGCGGCGGCATCAGCGAGGAGGAGGCGGCGCAGTATGACCGGCAGATCCGTCTCTGGGGATTGGAGGCCCAGAAACGGTCAGGGCCAGAGCGGCTTGTGGGGCGGCGGGGCCGCCGCGGGCGCCTGGCCTGAGGCGTCCGCGGCCTCGGGGCGGGAGCGTCTCATCTGAGAGGCGAGGCGGGAATGTTGCGCCGGGGCCGGGAGCCCTTCGGCGAGGACTGCAGGGGGTGATTGGGGATGCTTCTGGAAGATTTCAGAGGCAGAGACGTGCCCCAGGGTGGTTCCGAGGGTCGTTCCGAGGGCTCGGAGGCTTCTGGAAAGGGGGCGGGAGCCGCGGGTCCTGAGGAGTCGGCAGGACGCTGACGCGGAGTCGGACGCCCGCGCGGAGCCGCGTCGGCGTTCGGGTCGGCGGGGGGGCTTGCATTCAGGGAAGGGGAGGGGCCGGGGGTGCGCGGAAAGGATGCAGGGCGGGGGGCGTCGTTCATTCATTCCGAGGTACTGGGCGTTGTTTTCTAGGCTGGACAGTGGGGAAGACTGGCGACCCTCACCGACGCGAGGTTCCATACCTGTGGCTTCTGAGGGGTGGGCCACGCTGAAAGAATGAGGGCTTTTGAAACGTTCTGGAGCAAGTTATTTCAAGTATGAGTCTCGAGAGGCTGGGGCGGGGAGCTCCTGAAGAGGTTGCTAGCGTCTAGGTGTGGGGGTGTGTTTAGAGAGGCCGGGAGACAGGTTGGGCGTACCCAACCTTGAATAGTTGCAGAGACTAAGTTGTTTTTTTTTTTTTTTAAATTTAAAAAATTACTTATTTGTGCATAGAAGAGCTGGGGTGTAGGCTAGAGGTGCGGGGTGGGTGGTGAGAGGATTCACCGGAGACAGAGTGGAGAGCAGAACTGGCGGATCGACTGAAATGCTCTGCTGAGGGGAGCAGCTGCAGAGTGGGGAGCAGTCATGAGGGTCAGCTCTGTGACCAGGGATGCGCTCATGCTGTAGTGGCTGCCGATGGCTTCATAGGGTTGAGGTTTAACCCCTTGCACCACCAGGGAGGCCCCTGAGACTGAGTTCTTTGAACGAGGGGATTGACTTGATCCAATGTTTACTGAGCACCTGTCTTAGCACTGTTCTGGGCCCTGAGCATGTAATACCAGGAACTAATAGACTCCTGGCCCATAGGGAGCTTACATTCTCCTGGGGAAGACAATAAGCACCGAGAAACATGATGTTAGGTAATGCAAGTGCTAGGGAGAAAAATAAAGTAGGATAAGATTATCATTATAAAGGATGGTGAGGTGGTAGAGTTATTTCCATAGGGTGGCCAGGAAACGCCTCTGAGGGCATACTTGGAGCCTCAGACCTCCTTGAAGGGAAAAGAACCTTGTCACCACCTGGAAGAAACTTCCCAGCACAGAGAAGAGCCAAGTGTAAAATCATGGAGGCCAGAGCCTGCTTTACAAATTAGCGAAAGGGTGGCTGGAGCCGAGTGAGTTAAGTTTTACATTTTAAATGTGCTGGAAAAGTCGATGATGGAGCATAGGAGTAACATAATCTGATTTGTGTTTTATTTTTAAATTTTTCCTTTTAAATTAAAAAAAAAATTATGCATACAAGAGCTGGGGTACAGGCCAGAGGTGTGGGGGTGAGAGGATTCACCAGAGACAGAGTGAGGAACAGAACAGGCAGACTGACGCTGAGGAGAGCAGCGGGCGAGTCAGGAGTAGTTTGCTGTGCCATGTGGGTTGCTCCCTGGCCAGCCAGGGGATTGAACTTGTGCTTCAGTGGCTGTGAACAGCTTCATAGGTTGCATCTTAACCCCTTGCACCACCAGGGAGGCCCTGATTTGTGTTTTATTATTTTTTTTAAAGATTTATTTATTTATGCATACAAGAGTAGGGGTACAGGCCAGAGGTGTGGGGGGAATTGTCTGGTGAGAGGATTCACCAGAGACAGAGTATGGAATAGAACAGGCAGATCAACCGAAATACACTGCTGAGGGGAGCAGTGGGGAGACAGGAGAGGTCTGCTGCGCCATGTGGGTTGCTCCCTGGCTGGGGATTGAACTTGTGCTGCAGAGGCTGCGGACAGCTTCATAGTTGCGTCTATGTTTTGTGTTTTATTTTATTTATTTATTTTTTAAGACTTATTTATTTATACAAGCACTGGGTACAGTCAGAAGCGCAGGAGGGTGAGAGAATTCACCAGAGCCAGAGCGGGGAACAGAACAGGCCGACTGACGAAATACAGGAGCAGTGGGCATAGCAGGAGAGGTCTGTCATGCCATGTGGGACCCTTGCTGGCGGCTGGGGATCCAACCGGCGCTGCAGAGGCTCAACAGCTGCACCACCAGGGGAGGCCCTGTTTTGTGTTTTAAAAGGCACATTCTTGCTTGTGGAAAATAGGGTGAAGTTGGGCAGAAGTGGAAAGGAGTTCCAGCGAGGACACTGTTGGAATAATCCACTTGAGACATAAGTGGTCAAGTATGTATTCTGGATTTATTAGAAGGTAATGGGGACAGGATTTGCTGAAGGAATCAGTGTTGAATTTAATTTTAGATGTTTATCGAGATGTATTTTTATTATTATAGTTCCTCTAAGGGAACTCCAAGTGGGGTAGGGAAGATATCTGAGGACTGTGGTTCCTTTGTGAAGGGGAAGGCAGCCAGCCACTGGCAGAGAATGCTAATAAAAGTTTTTTTTTTTTTTTTTTTTTTTTTCTCTGACTCTTTGTAATGTTGGACCAAATTGTCAGAACTGGGATGGAGAATAATAATAATAAAAGGGCCTTCAAGGGAACTTATGCAGTCTAGAGGTTAAAAACTGGGCTGATCTCTTTACATGGTTTTAACTTTTTGAAATGAATTGCTAACACTTAAAAATCTAGAGAATTGGGGCCTCCCCGGTGGCGCAGCAGTTGAGCGCTGGGTTGTGAAGCTGCCCACGGCCTCTGCGACGCCGGTTCGATCCCCAGCTGCTCCCCGGCCCCCGGAGGAGGGGCCCACATGGCGCGCAGGAGCCGCCCGCTGCTCCCCTCAGCAGTGTACTTCGGTCCTTCTGCCTGCTCTGCTCCCTGCTCTGGCTCTGGTGAATTCTCTCACCCTCCCGCGCTTCTGACTGTACCCAGTGCATGTATAAACAAAACAAACAAACAAACCAGCAAACAAATAAATAAAGCATGCCTCTATAAAAAAAAAAAAAAAAAATCTAGAGAATTGGCCAGGTTTGGAACAATTTGAGCATCAGAAAGAAAGCCTTATTTAGAAATATTTAATAACATGAAATTCTCCCAAAATAACTTGGAATTCACAAGGCCAAGATAATATTCAAACAAGAGGTAATTATCAAGAATATGCCTTCTGAGCCTCCCTGGTGGTGCAGGATGTTAAGACTCAGCATCATGAAGCTATCCGCAGCCACTGCAGCACGAGTTTGATCCCTGGCCAGGGAGCTACCCATATGGTGCAGCAGACCTCTTCTGTCTCCCCCCTGCTCCCCTCAGCGGTGTATTTCATTGGATCTTCCTTCTGCTCCCCACTCTGTCTCTGGTGGATCCCCCACACCTCTGACCTACACCCCAGCTCTTGTATGCATAAATAAATAAATTTAAAAAAATGTCTTCTGATATGATGAAATAGGAACTTTAGTGCATCACCTTTGAAGTTTTCTTGCCTAATACCTTTTACCCTAAGCATGCTTTTACTTTTTTTTTTTTTTTAAAGATTCACCCATTTATGCATACAAGAATGGGAACACATGCCAGATGTGCAGGGGGTGAGAAGATTCACCAGAGACAGAATGGGGAGCAGAACAGGCAGATTGACTGAAACACACTGCTGAGGGGAGCAGCAGGTGAGCCAGGAGAGGTCTGCGGTGCCATGTGGGTTGCTCCCTGGCCGGGGATCGAACTTGCGCTGCAGAGGCTGCAGTTAGCTTCATAGATTGCATCTTAACCCCTTGTGCCACCAGGGAGGCCCCCTAAGCATGCTTTTAGAGAACAGGAACAAATTGAAGGACATCAGTGAAGTAATGATAAGCTGTGCAGAATGTCGGGACATTTTATAAGACAGCTGCATTGGTTCTCTTCCAAAAGTTAATGTCTTGGAAAAACGAAATCTAGATTAGGGGCCTTCCTGGTGGCACAAGGGGTTAAGCACCGCACTATGAAGCAATCCGCAGCTTCTGCAGCATGAGCTTGATCCCCGGCCAGGGAGCTACCCACATGACGCAGCAGACCTGTCTCTCCCACTGCTCCCCTCAGCAGTGTACTTAAGTCAGTCTGCCTGTTCTGTTCCCCACTCTGTCTCTGGTGAATCCTCTCATCCCCCACATCTCTGGCCTGTACCCCAGCTCTTATATGCATAAGTAAATAAATCTTTAAAAAAAAAACCCTATAGATTAAAACAGTACAGAAAAAACAAACAAACAAAACAGCAGTACAGAAGGGAATCCAAAAGCAATGTATGAACCTTGACTGGATCCTGGTTCAAAAAGAACACTTTTAGGTACATTAGGGGATATCTGAATACATGGTGCTATTAAATGTTACTTAGGGGTGATTTGTTATGGTTTGTTAGATGTGATTTTTTTTTTTTTTTTTTTTTTTTTTGTGGGACCCTCGCCTGTGGCCGGGGAATGAACCGGTGCTGCAGAGGCTGCAGGCAGCCTCGCAGCCCAGGGCTCAGCCACTGTGCCACCAGGGGAGGCCCATAGGTATGATTTGTTATGGTTATGAAGGACAATGTCATTTTTTTTTTTAATAGAGGCATGTTTTGTTTATTTATTTGTTTGTTTGTTTTGTTTATACATGCACTGGGTACAGTCAGAAGCGCGGGAGGGTGAGAGAATTCACCAGAGCCAGAGCGGGGAGCAGAGCAGGCAGAAGGACCGAAGTACACTGCTGAGGGGAGCAGCGGGCGGCAGGAGAGGTCTGCGCGCCATGTGGGACCCTCCTGCGGTGGCCGGGGAGCAACCAGGGATCGAACCGGCGCAGCAGCTTCACAACCCAGCGCTCAACCGCTGCGCCACCAGGGAGGCCCGACAATGTCGTTTTTTTAGAGATATGTGCTAAAGGTGTGGTGTGCCATGAT